TTGGTTGCCCAATCAAGGTACAGGATGAGCACGTAATTGGTTTACCAATCACGGTACAGTATGCGCACGTAATTGGTTGACCAATCACGGTACAGTATGAGCACGTAGTTGGTTGCCCAATCAAGGTACAGAATGAGCACGTAATTGGTTGCCCAATCACGGTACAGTATGAGCACGTAATTGGTTGGCCAATCACGGTACAGTATGAGCACGTAGTTGATTGACCAATCACGGCACAGGATGAGCGTGTAATGTGCATTGGAAGTCAAATATTCAACATAACAACTTGTTCCACAAATAATATTTGATACATTATATTGCAAAAATATTTTACAAACCGGAAATCGTTCACGGCTTTGTAGATACGTCGATTACAATTTCAGATACACATAAACAATCGTCACCGTGTTTTGTGTTGTAATTTACTAAAAAAAATTTTAGGTAACATTTGTCATTTCATTATCAGGATTAGCAATAGGAAAAGTTTCCACAACCTTCAATATTTATTCAGATACAATTGTGTCAATTTCCATACCTTGATCAGTGTCAAGGTGCCAAAAAGATAAGAACATCTCCAAACAAGTCATTACTGATATTAGACACTAAATTCTGTGATGCATAATGCAGACCGACGGATTAACGGTAAAAATAACATGCTACCAATTCAAAATCCTGATTCAGAACGCCAAACTCGATACAATTTAAATGTAAAATTTGCAACAATTTGGTGACATCAAATGTTATCTGCCAATCACCATGATTCTGACAGCCACACAGCTCGGCCATTGATTGACTTCTAAACCGACAGGTCTTCAAGAAAGAAAATCGATATTATTCAATTGCAACCTATAAACAGAATGTGACAGTCACAGTAGTGACGTTTAGTTTGAAATATTACTTAATATTGTGTTGACATAGGAGCACACAAAACATCAAAGAAACCAGAGAGCTTTCACGTTTAACTTCTTGTTTTTACCGCGATTTTTAGTAACAACAACAACATCACTTACTTTTTTACATATCCATATACTAGGGTGATTAGGTAACACCATTATAACACTGTTACATAAATATGTATTCTGACGCATGCAACAAAGTAGTCCGAAAAACGTCACATATACAGGATGATATTTCACACTAAGTGTGACGATATGAAGCTGAGCGTCACCAGTATGCGAGTGATTGTACAGTACGTGATAAAAGCCAAACCAATGTATCGCAGCGCAGCAGACTGGACAACAATTCAATGGTGCATCGACAATAACTCATACCAATGAGAACGGAACGTTTATTTTGAAAACGAATATTCCTAAGAAGGCTAATATTTCTGCCGATTTCGATAACCATCGACGGCCGTAGCTAAAAAATCATTCCTAGACGCGCCTGGCCGTCATGCCGAACCAGAATGATTTGGTATATAAATAACTAAACCATAAAATCACAATGACTTCGTCGTTTTGACACTTTAATATTGCAAGGCCTTATTCCGGTTTGTAAGATAACAACAACAATATACCTCCGTTCCCTGGTACGTCACGTGACAGTATGTCATGTCACATACATCAGTAATCACAGGTATTCCAATGTCACGTGACCATATGTCATGTCACATACATCAGTAATCACAGCTATTCCCATGTCACGTGACCGGATAAATGTCATGACTATACGTCATACACATCATTAATCACTCGTATGTCACGTGAAACCCTTACCTCACAAAATAATTCTCTGAGTGTGTAGTCAGAATTGAAGACGAACACATGAAATATACGAGTACCAATATTCTGTTCGAGAAAACAAAACATAAACATAAGGTCAAGTAAACAAATACTATTTCCTGAGACTAAAGTAGTTTTACAATTTGATGTGTTGTACGTTGATGTGTGATACCTTTAGTCGTTTCAGTTCATCCGTTATAGATTCAGTCCAGTCTTCCATAGTGACTACAGTTTTGTTGCTGGCTACCATATCATTCATAAAGGTAAGAGCGTCCTGTAAATATTAAAACTGTTACACATTACCGATAATTGTATTTATCATAGTTATCCCGGAGCTAATTTGCAGAGGAACAGACCCAAAACAAATTTATATAAAGCACACGACAACAACAAAACATCATATTACGATTAGGGTTGTATATTTTTTTATTAGTGACAAAAAATGTCAAGAATTGATAGATTCACGTAGCGATGTATTTGGGTAGTTTGAGTTTTTCGTCACTTTTTTGACGATTTTGTCGGCTCAGTAGACGGAAAATCGTGAATTAACTGGCGAATTCGAAAAATCCCAGAAAAGACCTTACATTACAAAAAGGGCGCAGCTAGATGTATATGTTCCCAACACACACGTGCCGAGTGTTCCACTTATGAACCATATCATTTTCAAATGAAACATAAGTGAAAATGAAGTGAAATTTCTCACGTTATGTAGCATGAGATTGTTTCGTCGGTTCCTAGCGGGCGAGCCGTGAGAGATTAAATGATTGGTCAACGTCAAGTAAAGATTATTGACCAATCAAGCGTCACGTCTCATCTAACATCTAATCTTATAATATTCTGAATATTACGCAACTTACCGCTTTCAATTTAGGCGAGTAAAATATAGCGGCTCGTTCCCAACCAAAGTATTCCATCAGTCCTATTCTAGTTGGATTCATGGAATTTTGTGGCATGCGTGTTCTATAGTACAATGGAAATCGTGCTGTGTTCGATAATTCAGGTGCTACAGTGGAAAACCCCATCTGGAAATACAAATAAAACACACTTTAATAATAGAAACTATCTATTGAATTGTTTTCAGATTTATAAACATTTCTATTTTTTACCTGAGCAAGGTTCCAATATCTACTTGTTTCAGCGATAGCCAATGACTCCTGTTCCATGGTCGGTCCGAGTATCATGATCTTTGTCGGGGGTGTGTGCAATTGATGAATCAGCTCTCTCATAGCTATGCCAGAGTCCCCCTGGTAACAGAACAAGCGTCACATTACAAACGCTCGATATATTTAGTGTATTTAAGTTATTGTAAACAATATAAAGTTAATTCTATAACACTCTAACCTGTTTCTAGAAATATTAACTGGTACTATTTTATACCATAACTGAACACTAAATCATCGGTTACATTTACATATTAATCAGTCGTTCTACTAATGTAAATGTTGTTTTCGTTTAGTCACTGTCTGTCATTATTAATGATAAAGTATATGTACTATATCATCGGGAATATTATCATGTCATAGTTTGACAACGCCCTCAGTGTTACACAATTTTAAACTTACAATACACATTGTCAACAATAGTAGAGTTTCATAATAGTATGCACTTCAGGTTCAATTCAATTTTAACATAATTTATGAAACAAAAAACATGACAGACACATACAAATCAAACAAATATTGTATAACAATTACAAATTAATTAAAATGTGATTGACATTCCCATGATAGTGACACAGTGTATTTCACATGCAAGACAGTAGTATATCAACAGGATCTTGTTTTTGTTTGTTTCACATCGGTCTATGTCACCCTATATTGGTATCATTCATTTCCAGTTTGTACCATGATGTCAAAGTTAGTAATTCACTTACCTGGGTATTCGTATCGTTCATTTCCAGTTTGTATCCTACAAGTAAACTTTCCATTTTATTTACATCATCTAAAGCCATACTGGCTGCGGGTAGAGCGCCCTCTGCCCATCCACCATATCCCTTTGTTATAAAAAATCCACTGATATATAATGGAATATCTTCACAGACGACATCTGAGTAGAAATACAAACGTTATTGCCAATACATACAGGTTCAATCTTTTCGTCTTTCAAAATCAGAAAGAGCTATTTTCCCTTAACGCTCAGCATTTAGGGAACAACAACATTTTAACAACGCGTTCTGACACGAAGACGAAAAAGGTAGTTCTCGTTATAACGAGTATATATTTTAATTTATGATCATTTTATGTCACCATTTTGTATGCCTCTGGGGTCCATGTTTATTTGACATTACTCTCTCTAACAAGCATTACGCCATTTGAGATAGACAGCGTTAATTCTAACCTGCAATATAGTGACAGAACAACCAATCTCTTTTAGATGGGATAATATTGCAACCTTTCAGATGTGTTATACAGTTTTACCTTCGATTAACAGAACAACCCGTCAAAATCGATTCTCCAGTGTTCCAATCAACATATGGAACAGAATTTTAATAGTTATACTTTATAGTCTTAATTAACTGAGATAACATTTTACAAAGTTAATAAGTCACAATGCTCAATAATAATGTGATGAATGAAAGTACATGTCGACATTCTACCTAGCATTCCAAACAATGGCATCATCTAATGTCACTCTACTTGAATTCTACGAGAAGTAGGAAAACCTGCGTGTACAATTCCTTCAATAATCAGAATTATTATGTGACATATTATAACAATACGCTCTTATGGAGGGATACAATCAAGTTAAATTCACATTTATAAATTCCATTCAAACATCCACTCAACTGCTTGGAAGGGGAATATTAAATTTCAATAGTTACGACATTAATGCCACAACATACAAGTAGGTCGTTCTGTACATGTATATTGCTACACATTATTATAAAACTCAAACACTGCAATGAATAGAGATTCGCCATTGAATACAAGTGCAATTACTAGCCGCGTATTAAAGAGATTACAATGAAATCACCTGGCGTCCACATACGTGACATTTCTAATCTATAAGTTAGAACCCCTGGCGACGATTATAGAAAATATGTATTACTAAGTATCTGTCACGCATAGTTCAATAAAGGGTTGTCAACTATTAAATTGGAAGATGATTACACCGCTATATATGCAGTGCAACTCGTTTTGTATAAATTACATGTTCTTGTGTTTATATTTCTTATTTCTTCGTAAATACTACAACCGTTAAGAACAGTCACTATATAATTATAAATATACTGTTATATCCTTGAAGTTCGGAAATGACTTTTTTAGAAATCTTTATGAAACGACAAATGCGATGTAATGGTATATGAGGGATAATGAGTTCATGGAATATAAGCCGATGTTACAAATGCCATGGCAACATACATCACAATTGGAACCCATCTGCCAGCCACATTTTAAACTCATTCTACCTTTATTAAATTTACAATATATGTACATGACGTATTGTAATTAGACGCTCTTGGGATGTCACTTCCTAATTTATATGTACAGCACACTCTAAGATATGACCCGCACCACAAACTTATCTGTCATACAAATTGAGAAAGGGCATCGTATACAAAAGCAGCATGGCAGACGACATCGCAAATATAGATATAAGCTACACTATCATATTTAGCAATATACATTTATCCATTCAAATTATAGATAATACTCTAAAAGTACTGAGGACAAAGTAGTTATAGATCCATGTTTAATACTGTAATAATTTATAGTGTACTTTGACGACACTGTTCTTATTCAACAAGTTGTGATAAATTTACCAATCTTCATGACTTTTTTGGTCATATTTATGAAACTAGACGACAATGAGACAATTTGCTAAACTGTATAACGTTTTAATTCTTTTCAAAAACTATGCAATCTGTATCCATTTAACCACTGAATACCCTTGGCATCTTAATTTATTTTCCAAGTACAGACTCAGCTTGATTTTGTTAGCGCGTACCTTACACCGCCTACCTTACACCGAATTTTTATTATTCGAGAATTACGCGTTTTTTCCAAAACGGCTTTCTGCATGCAACGTGCGGGAAACAATGCGGACGTTCGATTATCACTGTATCTTTTGCGAAAAGGTCCCAATTAGAAATTATTCATAATAAACGATTTTTTGGTAATATAAGGACACAATGACGTGATTGAATAAACTTGCAGGTTATAAAATAAACAATACGTCATCTTGCGGAATCCGCTCTTAGCGGTGGTTCTTTTGCAACAACAATTAATTGCCAGTCAGAATAATTTCACTGTCAAATTCGATAATAATTACGTGGGTTTATACTACATAGTGACTAACACTCCCAAGGTGTTTTATTGTTCGCGGGTCAAAACATAACTAACACCAGGATCAAAAAAATAACACGGGATCAAACAATACTGCGTGATGTTAAACGAATACCACCACATACTTCCAAATATCACAGTTGCTCACATATATCCTTCAGTGCGGATAATAATATTCACAATATTGTGTAGATTCCCACAAGCGTTATCAAAGTATCATTTTAATTGACACGCTTCAATGCAACCCGTGCAATGAATCTAACGACGTTCATTATTTTGGTGCCTGCCGAAAAAGGGTAAAACACGTGTGTTTGAAACAACATAATGGTCACTTTGCAATGTTAATAGAATGGATATGTTGACAATAAAGTATAAAATAAAAAAATTGGCAAACATCGTCATCGAAAGGTTTTAACACAGCGTATATATGATATATGTGTATGAAGGCTGTTTTATAGCTTTTAAGATATCCATCGTACTTTTAGATTCATAGTCAGTACGTTCTCACATCAATACAACGTTCCCATCTTATCAAATACGTCTATTCATCAACACATCTGGGTTGGTTTACGACTGAAGGCTAAGAGCAGCTTCTAAAAACGTTCACTATTAAAATTTTCGTTCAATTGATCAGAAAAGATACTATCGGTCTCAAAGTCACGTGACCCACACAATATTTTGTTTTGTCAAATATATTTTTAATATGGTACTAATATGTGACACATTGTTGCAATCCCATCAAACATATCGCTTCTATATTTAGATGACCGTAATACACAAATAGTATATGAATAGTTTATGATTCAAAATTACATACACAAATAGTTTGAAATAACATACACTGGTGATTTGAAATGACATACACTGATGATTTAAAATAACATACACAGAGATGATTTGAAATAACATACAATGATTTTTAAATAACATACACTGATGATTTGAAATAACATACACTGATGATTTGAAACAACACACACAAATGATTTGAAATAACATACACTGATGATTTGAAATGACATACACAGATTATTTGAAATAACATACACCGATTATTTGAAATAACACACACAGATGGTTTGTAATAACATACACTGATGATTTGAAATGACACACACTGATGATTTGAAATAACATACACTGATTATTTGAAATAACATACACAGATGGTTTGTAATAACATACACTGATGATTTGAAATGACACACACTGATGATTTGAAATAACATACACTGATTATTTGAAATAACATACACAGATGGTTTGTAATAACATACACTGATGATTTGAAATGACATACACTGATGATTTGAAATAACATACACTGATTATTTGAAATAACATACACAGATGGTTTGTAATAACATACACTGATGATTTGAAATGACATACACTGATGATTTGAAATAACATACACTGATTATTTGAAATAACATACACTGATGATTTGACATAACATACACTGATGATTTGAAATAACATACACTGATGATTTGAAATAACATACACTGGTGATTTGAAATAACATACACTGATGATTTGACATAACATACACTGATGATTTGAAATAACATACACTGATGATTTGCAATAACATTCACTGATGATTTGAAATAACATTCACTGATGATTCGAAATGACATAAACTGATGATTTGACGTCATACACACAGGTGGTTTGAAATATTTTACGCAGATGATTTAAATTAATGTACAAATGTAATTTGAAATAATTGTCACATATGATAACAATCAAATTTACAAATCATTTAAATTAGTATTCACAGTAGATTTTGAAATATAATTAAAAGATGACATACAAATATATTACAGACATAATTTGAAATAATATGGTTTGAAATATTTAAATATTATGCACAGAAGGTGTGCAATATTACTCACAAATGATTAGAGATAATATTAACAGCGGTTTAGAGATAATATTCACTTAATAGTTGAAATATTACTTACAGAATTTATCATCTAGCACATATTATAACAAATGTGTCTAGGTTCACTATAAAATTTACAACAACTACATATCAAATAGGAATCTTTATATCACAACGCCCCAAAAACTTTCAGCTATTTTGCTATACTTTATTAAATGTATTTATATGAGTAACGAAAGTCAAACATATCATTCACGTGGTGATTTGAAAACATGATTTAAAGCAATATACACAGGTTGTTTGAAATAATTTATACAAGGTTTCGAAATAATATACACAGATAATTTTCAATCAAATTCACAGTTGTTTTTAAATAACATTCACCGATGAAATAGTATACACATATGGATTATGTATTTTTACAAGATTATAATAAATGCGGGTAAGTTACATTATAGATTCCACATAGTCGCACATCAAATTGGAATAGGTTAAATTCACATATTTCAAAACGGCAGTGAACGTAAGACCTACTCTTACATAAAACAGTCTATTCACGTGTATGCTGATTTTATGTGCACACATTAAATTTAAATGTAATGCGATATCACGAAGTCATCTTGTTGCAATCATTGTTTAATGATGCCTCCAAGTACAATATTCAATGAGATCGAACCAAGATCGCATATATGTATATCTTCGTAGTATATTATGTTGGGAATAAAAAAGTAAATAAAACCAACAACAAAGAATACATATTTTTACAGAGTTATAGTATGCAAAAGAGCAGTAAATGTAAAAGTTTACTTATATTATTTTATTATAGTATATAATTCAATCTCTATTCAATTTAAAAAGCCTCAATGTCACCCATCAATAATTTATATTTCATAGTATTCAAATTACAATGATCACGAAGTCGCAATGGTCTGGAAACCTTTAAGGGCATATATGCTTCATTACGGGAAGTATGAAGAAACACTCAAATCTAGATAAGGTAAACCTGAGATGGTCTTTGTCTAGACATGAGAAATACCAAAGGTTATTTTAAATTGTTCATTAATGATACGTTCAGATGATTACAAATCCTGGATATCCATGTCCCATCATCCCTGTCTAAATAAGTTTATAAAATATGTGACTCATATCGAAGTCAAAACTGAATTTTACTTTCTTGATTCAAATTGATGTTGACAATTGCATATACTGTATAAGGTACGTTCAGGTTAGGTATCTGAACATGGCGAACACATAGCAACAAATCGAACGAAAAAAATCTATTTGGGAAAGCCATTCATCTGCAATATCACACATTTTACCGGCAATTATGATTAGTTATTACATCACGGGAGGGGGTACTCTAAGTCAGACCTGGTACCCATCCTAGTTTTTCAAAAAGCCTATAAACACGTACTTATTTTTGTGAAATTATACCCCTTTTCAAGTGCAGAAACTTAAGATAGATACCCTATATACATACTAAAATCATACTGTTTCCAAGTTGAGGTAACATGAATTCATGAGATTCCCTTTTCATACTTTATTTATATATTTTAAAATATATTCGCCCCTAAACACGGTACACGCGTATACGCGTCAAATAACTAGATAGCATCTCTTTTACGCATTTTTTCATTCACTGCAGCTTGCGTACCATATTTTATTCAGAGAACCCACCCCCAGTAAATGCGTAAATTTTAGAATATGACATCACTGAAAAAGGGTTTCCGGAAATGCCATAGTTTGATGTTTAGACAATATGTTTGTAAATGTGAATGTTTCGGCTATAGACCGATAGTTTTATACATTCACATAAAAGTACCATCTTTACGTCTGTCATTTTTGCACCGCATGGGATTTGTTTCTCCACTTCTCCGCTTGCTCTTTTCTAGAGAGTTGTGTAAAGTCCGCTGACTTCAAACTTATATGAAAATGTGTCGCTATAACCACACATTTCAGGCTTCAATAATTTATTCTTTTTCAATCGCAGGCGATATAACTGTGATATATTGTCTGCATTTGATATAATGGATGAAAAATTAAATATTCTCTATATATCCATTTGCGGTAAATATAGTAATATAAACCCGATCATAAAATCTTAATATTCAAAAAGAGAGTTATGTGAAATGCAATATGAGAAATGTTTTCACATATATAGTTCATAATTGTCTTAATTTAGTTTCCGTTAGGTGCGTGATACACTAGATGGTGAACTTCACGTTGTAATGTCAACGTAGAGTGTTTTTACATGTATGTACTAATTAGTGCTTTGGTTTGTAGCCATGTAATTTAATTAATTTAAAGTCACGTGCTGCTATCTGCCAAGAGGCACGATATCGATTGCAAATACAATTTGATGTCAAACGGAAATGATTTCCTTCAGGGGGAATAATGCTTATGACCAAAGCTGTACACTAATAGGAAAGTACAGAAACATAATACGATATATTGTGTTCAAGGAACGACTTATTTATATGCACGCGCTAAGAAGCTTTAAACTTGATGCTTAACATTAAGAATGTGATATTTGCTGTGGATGAAATAATACACGATAGGACATACAAATTATATCGAAGACTTGGAACACATAAAATATAATCAATTTATT